TCCTCTACTCAGAGCACATATGTCATTGTTATGGGTTGTGTTGTGTTCTGTGTCGTGTCTCCCCTCCCTCTCTGTTTCTTTGTGTCTGACAGGTTGGTGCTCCGCCCCTCTCTGGGGGAGATGGGAGAATTGGAATCACCTGTGTCAATAGGCTGCATGCATCAGGAGAATAAAAGGCACTGTGGGCAGTGAAGAAGATGAGTTCATTTCATATGCTTGGAGTCAGCTGCAGGAGTGCCAGATTGTCTAATTATCCATTGGGCTTCTCAATTGTGTACCTTTTGATGCAGTTAAAGCTTGTTTGCTGTCAGTAGTTTACTTGTGTAATTAAATCCATCCTCTTTATTCTGATAACAAATTCTGGTCTCCACTTCTTCATTCCGGGTAATTATATTTGTTGTTCCCCGCATCCCCTAGCAAGACAGGGAACGCAACAGTTATTTATAATTTTCTATCTTTGCAAAACTAAAGTGCATTACAAAAAGGTAGTTTAACTGAATGTCATGAGTATGTATGTGCTAGCTTTCTTATAATACATTGTCATTAACTGTAACTTGTATGCTTCCTCTGTTAAACTACAGGATGAAGCTCAAGTCACTCTATCTGTCCAGTGGTCAGAGGGACGTCAGCCACCGAAGAGTAATAAAATACAAGAGAAGGCTGTTCAGACAGGGCCAATAAAAAACACAATGAATAGAAACTACTCAGTTTCCAAAGTCTCAGAAGATGGGAGCGCTGTGATAAAGATTCAACCAAGTCCAGGTGCTGTATGAATAATTATTAAAGCTAAAGCTAGATCTATTAAACAACACTGTGTTCACTCTAACAGCATTCATTTTAATGTCACAGGTATAAAACAAGACATGACATGACCGAGGGATTTCATAACCCAGCACCTAGCTGCTGTTTTTAACTGTCTCAAAGATATTAAATGTTGGATGGCCCAAAGTTTTCTACAGTTAAATGACTCAAAATCATTCTATTCAACTACTAACCCAACTCCCATATCAACCACATATAAAGTTCCCTTGGTCCTATCTCCTCTAACATAACACCCACAGTCAGAACTCTACGGGTTATTTTTGATTCAGAACTCATCTTTGATTATCATATAAAAAAAAATTGTCCAGACATGCTTCATTCATCTCAGATCCATTTCCAAAATCAAAACCATTCTGACAAGATGTTGACCCCCTATGTTCCATTGCATGACCTGAGGAGATAAGAGTCAGTAACATCTTTTAAATCGCTTCTTAAAACTCATTTTTATAGACTTGCTTTTATGTGATTTCACCTTTAATCATTTCTTTAATCTATCCCTTCCTTTTCCTTAAGTTATTGCCTTTAACCTTTTTATCCATCTCTTCTCTAAATGTCTTAAAAATGTATCCCGTCCTGTATTCATTTTACTGCTCTTAGTCTTTATTGATTCCTACTCCTTTTAATGTTTAACTCTTCAGCCCTCTGTTGCTTTACTCATTTAACCATCTCTTGCTTATTCCTTCTGTTTTTAGAGCATGTGATGTGATGTCATCTCCTTCAATTTTAATCCTTCAATTTTGTTCTCTCCTGGTTGACTTAAAACTAATTTGCCTTTACTGTATTATTTTATAACATTAACTGCCTCTTCTTACCTGCCTGTTGTAGCGCTCTTATTCCTGTTTATACTCTCTGTTTGGCCCGTCTGTGGGTGTCTGCTTTATTGTTGTCCTGACTGTTGATGTATTTGTTTTGTCTGTCAAAGCACTTTGTAAACATTTGCTTTTAAAGGTGCGATATAAATAAAGTTATTATTATGTTACAAAAAGCAGAGGGGCGTGGCCTGTTAGCTGAAGGCTCTACCTCCATAGTACATTTAGAGACTGTACCAGGCCTACATTTTGTGAGTGTAAAGTTCTCGAAGGGTAATATGACACTTTTAGCTATTTAAGCTAAGATAGTGCCTGACCATTTAGAGCTTTGAAAGTGATAAGAAGGATTATAAAATGATGTTCTAGATTTTATAGGGAGCAGGTGCAGAGAAGCCATTAGGCTACAGGGTTAATGTAGTCTAGATTAAGGTACTGGCAGATCTTTCTTTCAGGTCCACCGGAACATCTCGCTAGCCAGGAAGCTGCCCAAGCCGGGTTGGAATAAAGTCTACAGCTTTGGAGGTGTTCATGCACGGCTATTTCAGCCCATTGATGGGTTATGTCCGTATCATCAGCGAGTGGATCAGGAAAAAACTCTTGCAACATGTCAATTCGAGGCAAACTTGATGGCCAGTTCAAATTAGCTTAAGTTATGAAAATTGCGTTCCAAAAGTGATGAAAATAACTTTTGGGGGGGGGGGGGGGGGGGAAGAAACAAGCAAGTCCGAGTGGGCTGATGTGAGAACGCGGCAGGATATTCTCCGTTGAATTGACCTCGAGGAGATTGTGGTGGCGTTTATACTGTGACTGCTGCACGGTGCATAGACTGTCTGCACACGACCACTACGATCTCCGTTCACGTTATATAACAGCTGCTTTACGTTTTCTGTTCACCGGTATGATGTTGTTCTCCGCTCATTTGTTGATATTGTCATTCCGTTGGACTACAAATAGCATTGATAAAGGCAAATATTTTTATTATAGTGTCTTGTATCGGACTCTGACTGTTGCTCCGCCCGCTACTTCTGTGTTGTTTTTTTTATGTCACGTCTTACCTAAGTTAACCCTCATCTCACTCATCATATAGCAGTGTATTATAATAGTGATTGATGCATTAATGTGAAAAAAATCTCTTCAGTGTTGCTGTTGATAAAGGCTCTGTGTAATTTAAGATTTTTATACTGCGTGTAGCTTCATTTTCTTGAATGAAAATTATTGTTGTTGATCATATTTGTAAAATAATCATAGCTGTAAATTAACCAATGTTGCTTAGTTTAGGTATAAAATGAGATGTAGTTTTAATTCTTTCAGCCCTCCTGTTATGTTCGTTTGTCAGGTTCAGCAATAATGTTCCTGGGTCAATTTGACCTGGTGCATGTTTACTCATCAAAAAGTTGTCAGAAACCAAAAAATTGTTTCAAGCTCATTACTTACACCATTACTAACTATGCATTGAATATTTAGTGCAAAGTTGTTGTTCGTTCTATAAGGATATTTCACTCGTTTTTCATAAAAAATACATGTTCAAACTATATTGTGTATATATATTGGAAAATTCTTAATATAAGATACATAAGTTTTACATAATATTTATTCCTTTCAAAAAAACCATTTGTTTCAAACTTTTTTTTTCATGGGGTGATAAAAAGAAATGAGACATATTTTCCTGTTCAGGGTCAAATTGAACCGTTTACTTAAAAGCAAGCGAGTCATAAGGATTAGAAGTGAAGGTAAACCTTATCTATGCAATGTTAAAAATGTTTAGAACAAGAAATGAAAAAGTAAACAAGATATGACTTGTATGAACAAGTTGTGTATGTATGTGTGTGACATGATCAAATAACAAGCAATGAGAAACACATCTATTGATTTATGTAATTAATATAAACAAGGTGTTTGTGTGTCTACACAGCACATACCAATAGACTTATAGACCCCAACCAGGATGAGGAGCCCTGAATAATGCTTGTCATCCAGCTCCTTCCTCTTCAGCCCCAAAACCTGCCTCCCTTCAAGAGGAGTCATTTCAACTTGAAATGACTCCTCTTGAAGGGATGTAAAATTTCAAGTATCATTTTCTGTATTGAATTGGGAATGAGGAGCTCAAAAGCTGACTTGCTGTCTGTGAAAACGAGTCACTGCCATCCTGGTGGGCCCTGGCACTGTCTTTCTTATGTATTCTGCAGACAGTGTTGCCTGACGGATATTTGTGGACGTCACAAGGTCCACTGTATTTCACCAATTTTCGACTTGAATGTCTCGCACATAATTTACTCATCTGAGCTCTGACAGTGAGTGTAGGCTGCTGTATGTAGCTGCAGAGTGTAAGGTTGGTGGGACTCTCTTGCAGGGACCCTTTTATATGTTTCGCCCCTCCCCAGTTGTGAGGGTGGAGTCCTCCCGTGGGAAAATAAAAGGTTCCCATCAAAGTCATAATAATATCTGCAATTTCTGGCACGTTACAGGTGAGGAGAATAGGGAGATAGATGTTTGATTGGGGTGAAATATCTGGTGTGTGCGAGTGTGTGCTTGCGTGTGTGCATGTACAAAGAAAGAAATGGTAAATTTGACACTTCTTCTTTAAGGTGGTCCTAAAGTGCAAAGCACAATGACAAATCACAAAACACGTAAGAAATAAGAAAACACAATGACGTTAACTTCTAACGTAAATGGTAGGTTCCTGCGGTCGACAAGGATCGTCGTTGATTGTAAGAACGCACTGTCTGTCTTTTTAACCAGAAGGAAATGCTGCTTTTGCGTGTTTATTTCAAAACATGGGCGCAATCGTTGATTCAGACTTAGTCTCTATACATTTCTTATTTCTTGTGTGTTTGCCTATTTGTTGTTGTGTTTTATGATATGTCGTTGTGTTTGCCTATTTGTTGTTGTGTTTTGTGATATGTCGTTGTGTTTTCTTATTTGTTGTTGTGTTTTGGGGTTTGTCATTGTGTTGTCTTGTTTCTTGTGTGTTTTCTTATTTGACGTTGTGTTATCTTATTTGCTGTTGTGTTTTGTGATTTGTTGGTCTGTTTTATGATTTGTCATTGTGCTTTGCACTTCAGGGCCACCTTACATTTAGCCTCAACTTTCATTGCCGGGTGTCAATGTCATTTCAAATTGACCCGAACAGTGTGTTATAAACATGCTGGAGAGGGTTGCAAATACATAACATTAACCATCTTTTTTAGTATGTTAATAAGACTAATTAAGTCCAGCAGAAGAAGTTTCATATTAGAAAAATACTTACAATTTTTTTTCTTGGATTTTCAAACTTTAAGAAGAGTCAATTTGACCCGTAACATAGCAGGAGAGTTAAGACCACAAACACTTTTCATTAGTAATAAGTGTAAGCCTTCAATGTGACGTCACATGTCTCGCGCAGCTTTCGCTTTCATTTAACAGGAAGAGTCAGCGTTTAAAGCGTGAAGCCTGGTGAAGGTAAGACAAATGCGACAATTCAAGTTAAACCATCTTATGTATTGTCAAGAAAGTTGACAACATATTTGTAACGCATTCCTTTGTTTAAATTGCGTGATACAAGAAAATGAAAGGCAAAGTTAGTCTTTAAAAGTTGGCATTAGCAGTCGAGCTGTGGCGTATATGTTTTTGTGCGGAAATCATAAAGTTTCAGAGAATATTCTTTATAGAATTAAACTATACAACTGTTATTCATTGATGTGGCTGCTACAAACATTGCTCCCATCGTTGTCACCTATGTTATGTGTGTTCCAGGAAAAGGACTCAAAATGTCAGAACCAGAGGAACAAATGGAAGTGAGTTGAACTTTGAAACAGTATGAAAGATTACAGATAGGTATCATTAGGTTTGTGTGTGTGTGTGTGTGTGTGTGTGTGTGTGTGTGTGTGTGTGTGTGTGTGTGTGTGTGTGGTGTGTGTGTGTGTGTGTGTGTGTGTGTGTGTGTGTGTGTGTGTGTGTGTGTGTGTGTGTGTGTGTGTGTGTGTGTGTGTGTGTGGGGTCATTTTCCAGCTGGGTAAAAGCCATTAAAATGTTGCATGTTTGTTGTCAGTTTCCTGTAATGTGAAAGTCAAATTCTCAGGATTGTTCTAGTCTCAAATTATCACAGGATCATCTTTCTCTCTGCTGCACTGTGTGGCTCTTTACTTTCTCTATCTGCCTCTTCATATTCCTTTTTACTGGGTCCTATACTCAGAGCACATACAGTTTTCTATCTTTGCAAAACTAAAGTGCATTACAAAAAGGTAGTTTAACTGAATGTCATGAGTATGTATGTGCTAGCTTTCTTATAATACATTGTCATTAACTGTAACTTGTATGCTTCCTCTGTTAAACTACAGGATGAAGCTCAAGTCACTCTATCTGTCCAGTGGTCAGAGGGACGTCAGCCACCGAGGAGTGATAAAAAACTAGAGCTGGCTCTTCAGTTATGGGCCAATAAAAACAAAATGTATAGAAACTACTCAGTTTCCAAAGTCTTAGAAGATGGGAGCGCTGTGATAAAGATTAAACCAAGTCCAGGTGCTGTATGAATAATTATTAAAGCTAAAGCTACATCTATTAAACAACACTGTGTTCACTCTAACAGCATTCATTTTAAGAAGCATATACTATTATACCTGCTTGAAAAATTCATTTTCCTTTTTAATTTTTGGAGGCAAATTCTTTATTTTTCTTTTTTAGCCCTGAGTGAGCTTCAGAAACTTTGTGGACAAACACTTCCTCTCAAAGATGACAAACCAGTGAAAGTCATGTATATTATACTGACACCACCAGGGCTGGAAGAGGCATCTAGTGGCACTGAATTAAACAGAAAATCAAGATACAACACACACAACACTGAGGAACCTGAAGGAGAGGGAGCCACAGCAGGAGACACCAAAGAAGAAGAAAACTGTTCGATATGCATGGACACATTCAAAAAGAAGAAACAGCTGAAGTGCAAACATGAGTTTTGTGAGGGATGTCTGGAACAATCAAAGAAAAGTTTGGGACCCTGCTGCCCTTTGTGCAAAGATGTCTTTGGTAAGATGGAGGGAGACCAGCCAGATGGAAAAATGATCTGGAGATCAGGTCACACTTCCCTCCCTGGATACCCACAGTGTGGCTGTATAGTCATCAGCTATTGGATTCCAGGTGGAATACAGACGGTAAATGCCTGATTCAGCTTATTTGGAAGTGTAGTGTACATTTTAAACTGTTCGGTTATTTTCTTACACAGATGTCAGTTTTCGGGTATTTAACTCTCATTTTGCAGGAAAAGCATCCGAATCCTGGAAAGCGCTATGATGGCATCTCCAGAGAAGCATATCTGCCGGACAATAAAGAGGGCAATGAAGTGCTGCGCCTGTTGCAGAAAGCTTTTGATCAGAAGCTCATTTTCACTGTCGGGATGTCAAGGACAACCGGGAAGGAGAACCAGGTGACTTGGAACAATATTCACCACAAAACTTCAATCTCGGGCGGTCAACAATGGTAAGCTAGTGAAATCTTCATTCTCTCTATTCTATCTTTATTCTGTTAATAATATCAAGTTCACCAAAATGTTAAAAAAATTAACCTTAGTGTTCTTTTTCCACAGTTTTGGGTATCCTGATCCTGGTTACCTGAGCAGAGTCCGAGACGAGCTGAAAGCTAAAGGCATCGTGTGACGGGGAAAAGTTTGATTAAACGAAGAAAAGGAAAAATTAATGAAGATATTACAATTCTATAAGTTGGCTGTTTCTAATCTTCAAAGTGTTCTTAAAAAGTAGAAGATGATTTAAGGTGCAGCGGGCCGCATTTACAGCTTTAAGAGTTTGTGTTGAAGCAAAATGTTGAATCTTTCATTTTAAATGTTCTTTTCTTCATGAAGTATATCCATTTATTGCAGTTGATTGATAACGTTTGGTTGAGATTATAATGGTGGAAGAATACATGTTGAATATATAGATTGAACGCGTAATATGATATCATGTTTGTCTTTTAATGATCATTAAACAAACCCACACAGACCCATCTGTGTTCTTCTATTCATCAGCACGTGGAAAAATAACACAAAACCCACAGACTTGTTTTCTGTACAATTTTTAAAGTTTTATTTATCACAATATCTGTTACTTAGTTTGTAAAGTACTCCAGCAAAAATTAAACATTATTCTCTTTCCAGAAGAAAGACTGAGCCTCCATGCATTGTGTACTATAAAAGCTATGTGTCATTTTTCATTAAAAAACAAAAACAAGACTAATCAGAAGAAAAAAAAAACAATTTTGAAAATGCATGTATGATTTTGCAAAAATGTCCTTTAGGTAAAATGATTGTACTTATCTCTCCATTAAAGACAAACATACAACAGCATAAAATAACACTCGCTGGCAGGTAAGCAAAATAAAAACTTGTTATTGTTGTTACATTAAGAGATTGGTGTTACTTTTCACATGCATTAAGATATGGCTGACACATTTCTGACAGAAGCAGCATTTTGGGACAGAGGCTGAGCGTGAGGACGTGCCAGAGCGACCAGAATGGTAGCATTAGCAGCAGCAGGGCGAAAGAGAGATAAGAAAGAGTAGAGAAATGCCAGAGAACACATGAATGGACATAATGCACTTAAGACTGAGTCTATACAAAACTGTGAACATACAGACATCACTCCTGTAAAGGTAAAAGATAAATGTAGACACAAATCCAGATGCTATCTGGTTTTTACAAAGGAACTGGACAGAAGAAAAAAAAGAACCTTCTGGGTCACCTTTTTTCCTTCAGTTTTACTGTAATTGCAGCCTCTTTCTTTCACAGGAAGACCCCTTTAAAAGACAACAAACTGCAGACTAGAGAGGATCCATTAGAGTTCTGTATCTGCTGCGGACCTCCGATTATCAGCCACCTATGAAGTCATCCACCCTTACCATCTCTACACGTCTGTGATCTCCACCAACCACTCTGCCTGGAATGTTTAACACATTAACCAACCTCCTCAATCTCCATCATCCTAAATCAAAACACCACTCATCCAGCAACACGAGCTCCAAACGATCACACAATGTCATAAAAACAAACATACCTGTTTGACATCTTAAGGTATAAAGCCTACAGTATACACTATACCGTAAAGTTTGTATCCTGTGCAAGGAAGACAACACAATCATTTCATGAAAATTGTTCTCCGAGAAAAATTCATGTGGAAATACTGTAGTTGCCATCTGGTATCAACATTGTACATGTGCTATACACAAATGGTGCTATCACAACTCTGTCTCGCACAATCTCGCTAAAGAAACCCAGCAAGACAACATATGTACCGATTTAGAAAACTTTGAGTTTTACCTTTCCCGCTCAAAGTCAACACAAACAACAAACAGTTGGCACTGGTGAAATGGAACAATGTTTTTTTCTTTTCTATACAATTCATACAAAAATAAAAAATTAAAATTGCTCCAATGATAGCATCTTTTCTTCGGATTTTTCTTGTTTCCATTTCATTTTGCACAGAGGTAGTGGCTATTTAGGTAAAGGGTAAGGGACAAAGTGTAAATTAAAAATCTCTCATAGAAAATGTTATTCATTTTTGACCAGAGGAATCTCAAAAGAACAAAATATAATACTGCAATCACATACAAAAGTAGTCCTTCATTTTTGTACATTTATACAGTGTTCACACTTTTTATCAATTTTCTCTCACACTTTTTAAAGATTTTTTTTCTTTCGTTTTTTTCTTTCTTTTTTTGTTAAAGGCAAGAAGAGGGGTGTGTTTGGAATATCATGATTCAGGCCTATAAACAGTCTATGCCAGGGGGTCCACAAGGGGCTCCTCGTCTCCACGGGATAACAACTCCTTCTTCTCGTCTGTGCTGGCAAGAGAGTTGCGACTGTTCTGAGCCCCCATGTACAGAGTGGCATATACTGGGTTTGTGAAGTTTGTGGGCTGGAGGGTCAAAAAGAAACATATATTTGATATTACTTTAATGTGCTAAGGCTTTAATGATTGTGTATTTAAAATGAATACCTGGTGTCTTTCCCTTACCTTGTCAGGGTCAAGTGTGAAGTCTACGTCTAGGAGCTCCCCTGCATCGTCATCAGGCTCACCCTCGTAGATCTTGTAGGCAGGGTTTCCAATCTCGACATTCATGGCCCCGTTTGTCATCCTTTGGTGCTGGAAGCCTTTAGCCCTGCAAGAAAATATAAAGCACACAGTCACACCTTGTGTGTCCTAATCGAGGTTAAATGATCCTAATCCTGATGGAACAAGCAGGGACACAGCCACATTATGTAGGGAGGGGCGAGGCATCACATGACTCTCATCATCATCCAGGCTGAGGGAACTAAGCCACAGCACAGGACACAGTACCAGCAGTCATGTAGCACACAAAATATCCACAAACAGTGAGCCTGAATACCACAATGTCAATGTAACGCACTTAAGATAACAACAACACATAGATACAACAGATGATCTAAAATGCTGGATTTTTCACATTGCATTTTCCAATCTGAGCTTGGAAGATGGCTGTTACCATTTCTACCACACTGCCACAATACAAACCAAAGCACAAAACAGGAAGTACAATATGGAACAACTTTATGGTCAACACTAAGGCGTCTATCTACACAACTGGTAAGTGCAAAAACAGATCTATTCAATGCATGTATTCAATAGATCACTGCAGCTGCTCTGATGCGGGCTGTCAAACAGAACTACAGCTCCCATGATCATCAAAGAGAATGGTGCGACATTCACCACAGGACCAAACACTGTACAGCAACCAAGACTTATGGGTAAGATAGAAACAGAGCGAGAGAGAGAGAGAGAGAGAGAGAGAGAGAGAGAGAGAGAGTATCAAGATGCAGAATTGAATGAGATTGTGGAAAGAAAGCGTGGAACCCTGGCAAAAGTTACCGCAAGCGCCTGGAGCCGGTTTTGCCGGGCCGGCTAGACCTGAGGAGCAGAAGACATGCCATTACAGGGAGGAGAGGAAAAGAGTAGACGAGAGGGGGGAACGCAAGGAAGAAAAAGAGGTCTTCATCGTTGCTTGTTTTTAAATGTGTTGCTGTAACTCACCCTCTGATTCTTCTTCTGTACCAGAACAGAGCTCCTGCAGCCAGCAGAACCAGCAGCAACAGCAGCAGCACTGGGATCACTATGGAGGCCGTTCCTATAAGCACACATACATAAAAGAATTGAATCAGTCATCCTCGATGATTTCAAATGAAGGAACTTCTGTAATGTAGTAATATCAAGTCAACTTACGTCCACCTGTACCAGGCTCAACATCAATGCTGGCCACCGACTCACAGCGATGCCCCGCCCAGCCAGGAGAACATCTACACACACAAACACACAGGAGAGAGACTTTACCACTTTTCTTCTTCACCTACCTTATCCATATTGATTTTAACAACAGCTAAAAACTCCCTGAATATATATATTTTTTTCATGTCTTTCAAATGAAAAAACAAATCTTTATTTTGCTCATCTCTTGCTTTCTTCAGTATGTTTTCTATCTGTAGTCTTTTGAACACTGATATTTAGTTGTTTTTTTTAAGGTGATTCTTTGGGTGATTTACAGGATCCACCGCACCAACACACGCTTTAATATCTTTCTGTGTGTTGTTGTTTTTGTGTGTGTGAAAAAAACCAACAACAACCAACCCTAAACAGTCATGGTTGGAAACATTTCTCCTCACCTGCACTCTGGCAGCCGGGTCAGTGGGTTGATGGAGCACTGGCCATTTGCACAATACTCATTTGTATCACATGTGTAACAGCTGGGTTGGATTCTACCATTGGAGCAGCTATTGGAGAAAGAAAATAAAATGTGAGTTTCCATGAGAAAAAAATAGCATGCTTTAGATTAGCTTGATTGTTTGTGTGTGTGTGTGTGTGTGTGTGTGTGTGTGTGTGTGTGTGTGTGTGTGTGTGTGTGTGTGTGTGTGTGTGTGTGTGTGTGTTCTTACCGGCAGGTGAAGTCTCCTGTAGATGTAAAACTGTTGCTGGGGATACATTCTCCGTCTCGACAGTAGTGACACTTGTCAACCTCACACATGCCGCCAGTGTACTGAGGCAGACAGCGGCACAGTTTGGAGCCGTTTTCCCTCTGCAGACAGGTACCTTTGTTCAGGCAGTAGCCTTCACAGCTCCCTGCACACACAAACACACATACACGTATATACACGGGAAATGCTTACTGTACCAGCTACATTAAAAAATAGTTGTATCGCATATCTAACTGCATTGTTTTGTTTGAAAGGGGTTGGGGGACATTTTTCGACAATGTTTAAAAAAAAAACAATATTAGCAAGACAGTTGGAACACTGACTGTATTGACACTGGTCGCCCTGGAAGTCAGCGGGGCATCGGCAGGTTGGCTGGTTTCCCGCACTGACTGTGCAGTTGCCTCCATTTTTGCAGTAATCCTTACAGGTGTGTAGGTTACAGTTTGGTCCTGTAAATCCTATCAGGCATCGGCAGGTAGGAGAGCCTGTTGAGAACAGAAAATGTTGAGGTTAAATAGATGGAAGACTCAACAGAGAGGATGACAAAGAAACAATATACAACCACTAGGCAAAAAAACAAAACATTTTGGTGGCCTGCAAAGCCATATTTTAGCCAACATCGCGTTATTTTAACTTCCAATTTCACGACAGTACCATTTAACACATTACTAGCACAAGATGAAAAAAAAGGTTGCAATGTCCTCGTCTTACCTGTAGGGGAGGGTGTACATGTGCCTCCATTCTTGCAGTAGTCCCTGCATTGATCAATCTCACACCGATCCCCTCCGTAGTTCGGCTGGCAGCGACACTTAGGCTGCTTATGAGCGTTCAGGAAACAGCTGCCCCCGTTCATACACTGAACCAAGCAAGGACCACTGGGGGGTGCTGTGGATAACGAAGTGTTTTAGTCTTACAGGGTTTAGATACTAGTAACTGGGTGTGTCTGTACAGTAAGTGGAAATGTGTGTCAACTCACAGATCGGAGATAGAGTGGGAGGGGCAGCTCCACACATGTTCCGTTGTCCAGCGTGCGTCCATTGGGACAGATGCAGACGGGACCACTGGGGCTCAGAAGACACAGCCATTCACATTTCTTCCTGTCGCATGGATTAGTCACTGGAAAAGACAAGAAGTGAGATTAAAAATAAGGTTAAAAACAACTTCCTGCTGTTAAGAGGTCTCTGTTAAGTGAGAATTCCTGCTGCTGAATGTTTTCTACTCACTCTCAGGTTGCTTATAGCGGTGGTACAAAACTATATCTGTGGCGTGGTTCATTCCAGTTGTCAGGTTCTCAATAAGGCCTTTACCAAACTTATTCACCCTGAAAACATAGTTGTTGGTGTAGGTGACACCGTAGATGAAGTCCTCAAACACATCGATGCTGAACGGGTGATGGAGCTCTGAGTAGAAACAGAGAGGACACGTTAAAGGAGCTTCACACACTGTTTGTATCCTCACATTTCTTCTGCTATGTCTGCCTTCGTTTCATTGAAGCTGCGTCAACGAAATCAGTCTTGGAAAACTCTTTTAAAATCTTAAAGCTCCTGTGAGGGAACTTTCAGATTGTATCGATTTTGGTGAACTTCCTGGACAAGGTGGTACCTTTTTCTCAATGCTGATCTTGTGCTCTACATTCTTTTGTGTTTTCTAAGTAGCATGCTGTTAATGCCCTCTTCTTAGACCTACCTGGTAGGCAGAAGTGACAGGCTTACAAATGACAAAATTCAAATGTAAGCTCATCAACCAAGTTTTATAATCCATTTTCTTACTTTGAATGACTTCGAACTGACCCAATATTCAACTATGGCAACCAATTGACTCACTTTCAAGTGTGTTCCAATTTCTTATGTGGCCTTCATTCGAATGAAGCCAGTTTTGATATTAAATGAAATATGAAAATAAAGGAAATGTTGTTTCTTGTGTGAAATTTCAACAGCGCGCATAGAGAAAGAAATGAAAACACAATACAAGATACAAGGAAATCTCAGGAAGATTATGTCTTGGTGCTCTTTTAAACCCCTCAGCAGGCTTTGTGTTATTTGTTATAGGTAGAAATGAATAAAACATGTTTTGGCCACTGATTAGGAGGTCCGGCTGAAAAATATTAAAAGGGGGTACATTTAAATATTTTTCAGCCGGAGTAAAAAGTGTTTGAGGACCCTTTGATTGTGCCACTCAACTGTTTTTAATGCTGTTTACAGCCACAGCAGCATCGCTTCCATTCAGCCTCACACTGCAGATTAGGGAGAGTTTAGCATCGGCCCAGTACAGACGCTCGTTAAAGTAGTCCACTGCTAGACCTTTATAAAGAGAGAGAACAGTATTAGAAAAGGTTTGAACGATTATAAAATTACATTTAGTATGTTTTGTGTACAGTATGTGCATGTTTTACCAGTCGGCACTGAATGTTTTCCTCTACCAGCGTCTCTCTCATGGTTCCGTCCATAGCAGCTGTTTCAATCTTTGGGTGGTTCCCCCAGTCTGCCCAGTACATTTTTCTAAAGAGGCACAAGTGAACCCTTCATGAGTCACTGCTCGTATAACCATTTTATCAACACTCACATTCTTTTTGTTTTCTGTAAGTAACTACATTTGCTGCTGTTATCAGCTTTCAGTCTCCGTAGAACCACTTACCCTCTCGGGGGTCGACCACAATGGCGTAAGGCTCATCGATCATGCCTGAGATGAGAGTTTTACGGTGGCGTCCCCCATTGAGCTGGGCCACCTCGATGACATCTCGACCAGAGTCAGTCCAGTACAAGTTCCCCGCCACCCAGTCCACAGCAATGCCCCGGGGCATCTTCAGGTCAGGGATCTAAAAAAACAGAAAAAGAGAAAGAGAACTTAGACCCTCCACATTTAGAAAATAACCTCTCCCTATCTTGAATTATTTACATCATATACATACATAAGCGACATTGCATTCAGTGTTTACACACTCACCTCCACATTGTTAACCCTGGAGTCACTTTGGCGGCGGTTTCGGTTGCTATTTGGTGACGAGGAGGACGAAGGCAAATCATAAGAAGAAATACGCCCTGTGTGCCAGTTTGTCCAGTAAATACGATTGGTCTTGACGTGCAGGTCCATGGCATCAATGCGCACGTTGGCGTCGCCCTGGAAGATCTGCTCATAGCGCCAGTTTGGCATAGAAGGGTCGAGGCTACGTATCTCATTGTCGTCAGCGATATAGAGCACTTGCCTGGGAGCTGGGGATGTAAAGCAGGGAAAAGAGAAAATTATAGCTGGAAAAAGTTTTCTTTGTCTCAGATCCTCTTAATATTTTTCTACAGACTATTTGGTTGAAATTCCCCCATTTGCCTGCTTTGTCTGGATGAGTCTTTCATTTAGGTTCCATCATGTTACATCTGGTTTGCATGATATGCACTGGTGGAGAAGAGCAACAAATCTTTCTTTCTATCAGTCATTGTTTCATCCATTTTGGCTTAAATAGGAGGTCAAAGGCTACAGTCCTCAACACATTGGCCGCAGGTTTCACTCCCTTTAGCACATGTCTTACAATATGTGTCCTTCCTCATTTCCTGTTATGTTTGGTTAATCAGTCGTGATGTCAGTGTTGATGTTGGCCAGTAAATGTGCATGAGCCAAACAATCAAAATAAAAAATGCTTTAAAGCTCAAATACACATCCTGTTTGTATAGTGTAAGGAGTAGAAGGAGAGTTATTGCAGTAAAATAAAGGGAATATGTGAAACATTTTAAGAAAATGAAAGT